GAATTAAAATGATGACGGTATGATTCAAGTACAGCCAACTTCAGATTGAAGTGCAACAAGTGTCAAAATCATATCCTCCTCTCTGTGCGCTTTTTTGACAATTATTATCAGAATGACAAAAGTTGTGACACAAACATTGAATTGAGTAAATTGCGTACATTTTATTTTACACTTTCATTGAATAACTTTTATTCATACTGCATCGATTTGTGGCATATTTTTCATGTAAATATTTGTAAAGGTTCGTGTTTTAACAAATTATGTTAATCAGTACTTTCTGTTCTATTCCTAGTCAGTGGCACTTCGCGAAGAGTGTGTATTCATCACTAGTGACGTCATCAGCCGAAAAAGCAAAGAATGTACAACGCAGATAACCAAAATCATAATAAAGAGGCGGTGGCTAGTCCATCAAGCGACGAGTCTCCGACGAAAATATTCAAATTAACCATCGATTGTTTGGACGAAATATTCGAATATTTGTCGCTGAAAGACTTGCATTCATTCGGTCAAACATGCAAGCGAATGAACAAAGTGGCCGGCGAATATTTCAAGCAGAATTATTCCTCGGCTCCAAATTTGTGCAAAGTGGATGGAATATACACGAATTATGACAAAGATGACGTCACAAATGAACAAATTCATATATCTGGTTTCAATAAATTTATGCCGTGCATTTCATATTGTGGACACTGTCCACAACACGATTTCGGTGCATTTAAATATACTAAATCTCATATAAATGAATTTGAGGCAACTAACCACATTTACCTCGGATGGTTAAGCATTAATTGCAAAACAGTTGAGCATTTTAAACAATTGTTGCCCCAACTGGGAATTGTTCAATACCAATGTTGTTCGGTGGATGGTGACATATACGATTTGATATTGAAATATTGTAAAAATTTGAGAGAGATTTATGTTCAAGGTTCGGATGGCGGTAAACGAATAAATGGTAAATTCAACTGGCTGTTACAAGAATATCCCAAGCTTGAACGTTTGGAATGGAGACCCAATGATCCCTGTAAGATTGAAGAGCTACGTGATTTTTTCATACGTAATCCAAATGTAAAGAGATTTTCAACTACCTCAAAATTTTGGTGGACGAATGGTGACATATTCTCAAATTCCAAGGCAAAATTGGATATATTCGAAATCAAAGGATTTTACGTTAATACGGGGCATGACAAAGATGGTGACAAGATATTGAAAAGTCATGTCAACTTATTAAATCGACTCTATGAACAAGGCTTTTATAAACGACTATACATTTACGTCGATAGTGTTTATGAAGAGAAAATCACTGCATTTGCCTCGATCAAAGGTCTCGAATTATTGTTCATTCGATGGTTTCAAAAGAGTTATAATTTAGCTCAACTGACCAATCTGAGAGAATTAATGATTATGTATGGATCGAAAGATCCTAAGGATATGGAGGTTTTAGCAAATGGCCTGACAAAACTCGAACGTCTTAACATTGGTGGGTCTAAAATCGATGATATTATGCCATTCATTCGTCGATCACCGAAATTGAACAAAATCAAATTTATACCACGGAACAAAGATGTAGTTTTGAATTTGGCAATGATGAATGAAGAACGTGCCAAGTTGGTTGGAGCTCGAAAAATAATAATTTATACGCGTGATGATGTTTTCTTGGCTACTAAATGGACGACCAGAAACGGTGATATCAATTTGAGCTTCATCGAAATGAGACGATTGGATTCGATTGAATGGAATCATCATATACATCCGTATTCTATCCTTTAAAGTCTATACGATTTTTGTAAAAGTTGCCATTAAAAAACTATCCAAAATGATGTTTGATCATTTTTATCATTTTCTTCTGTGCGGACTTTCTTTGATTTGATGAAGTTATAAATAAATATATACCTCGAGGGTACTATAGTTCTCATTTTTACTGTTTTATTTCGTACTAGCATGCCTTCAGCTCGCTTCGCTCGCCTCGGCATACTACCCAAACACTAAATTTGCCTTGTTCACCCGGGGCATTCGTACCGTGCGTCAGTTACGAACACACGAAACAGAATACGGAGCTAAAGACGCTCGGTGCAAATGCTCTGGACGAACAGTGTAATTTGAGTGCTTGGATAGTTTCTTCCAATATTTCTATATTTTTTTACGTATTGGACGGTTACTCGCTCGCTTCGCTCGCTCGTAACCTTACCCTTGTCCGCCCTGTTTCCAAATTTCTTCTTTTGCCGAATGATTTTTCATTCCCCGAAAGCGATATTGAACATGCACTGGTAGTGCAGTACTAATTCAATACACAGTAAAGTTTTTGGCCAATTAATAGAGTATTGACGTATGAGCAAGGGTATGGCATACTATGTAATATGTTGGGGAATAAAAACCTTACAAATCTGTCGGAATATACCTTATAATTCTATGAACAAAATTACACAAATATGAGATAGTCAATACGAAATTGTATTTCAGAAACTATCCGATAGATGGCGTTACGGTTTGGCACGTCGCCGTGTCTCTCATATACGTGCAATTCACTTGCGTATAAGTAATTCAAAATATGTGAAGTGTGTGTTATACGTAAAGATATAATCATCAGAAATGTACCTGTATGAATACCGCAATGACATGTAACTTTTACAGGCTATTTTATTTAAAAAAAAAATAACATTCTTAACGTTTGAAGCAAATTTCAATACAAATTGAAGGTACTTTCTATACGAAGTATTTTACGAATCCCATTTTTTTGGTGATTTTTTCAAATATTGATTGTTTCTCAAAACTAACATCAGATTCGGTTTTCGTAGCAAAAAACCCCTTTACACATATCAAACTTTGATTTACGTCTCTGGGAAAAGATTTATCTAGTTAAAAAAATTTCGCATACCATACCCCCATATATGGGTACATCATGGATACACCGATGAACGAATATCGCTCAAAAACAATACCAGCCTACTCCTTTAAATCCCAATCACCCTGTAAAGTCAGATGTGAATTTGCTGTTCTCTAAGAAGAATTATCGTGCTAACAAAATGGTTAAAAAAAATTGCGTACAGTACACTTTCGGGAGGTTGCTGTTGGAATGATTAGTTTTTCATGATCGTTTATTTCGGCTTTAGTTTTCAATATTCGAGTCCAATTCAACAGCACCAAAATCGAACGATTTTCGACGCGCTAAATCATGTTTTGACACGTTTTACCGTGATGGTCGACCTCAAAA